CTCCCCTGAAACAATGCTTTGTGGTGGTTCTTGGACCAGCCACAGTCCCATGGCCGACCACTCCCACTCCAGCAAAGGATGCCCTCCCTGGGGAGGGATGAGGACCACAGCCAGGATGGCTGAGGAGCAATTGCAAACCAAGTCCCAGCCATCTCACAGGTGGTGGGAGAAGCCCTGTGTCCACGGAGCTGGTCTGGGAGGCTCTTCAGGGCTCAGGTATATCAGAGCCCTCCGCAGGCACCCAGCTGGGTTTCCACAGCTACCTTTCCCCTGCGGCCCCAACACTTCTCTGTGGATCAGTCACTCAAGGGTCGGAGATGCCAAGAACCAGATCCAGCCCTAAGGCTGCGGAGGGGGAAAGCTGGAGACCAGTGGAGGTGAGACCTGCTCTGGAAAATACAATGCAGGGAGTGCAGACTGTGGGACCACTGCTGCCCTCCCGGCGCATGCCCGGGCAGCGGGACCCACCTGGTTCACACCGCCCGAGTCCCTGGTGCACATCACAAGCTTCTTGGCGAGCCCTACGGTCGTGCCGTGGAAGTCTATGCCCCTGTGGGATTGAGATGCCACCATGGCCATGTGGCCTGGGCGGCAGCAGGGCTGCAAGGATGGTGAGGTGGTGGCCCCCCATCCTTACGTGATCAGCTGGGCATTGTCGTGTGGCTTCCTCCGCAGCAGCTCTGCCTCCCGCCAGTGGAGGAAGTTGTCCAGCGTCACCTCCGGGTTGGGACTGACCACGATTTTGTCCTTGTGGCTCCATACTTCCAAGCCAATCAAGGCCACCCGCAGGCGAAGAGGCTGATAAAGCTGGTGTGGGAGACAGCCCGCAGGGAGCGCTTGGATTTGAGCTGCACAAGCATAGGGAAGGTCCCACCTCCCCTGGGAAACCACAACTAAGTCCAGGACCCCACCTCACTGTGCAATATCAGCTTTGTCACCCCCTCAATAAATAACACAAGCTGGGGTGACCACATAGACAGGGTTTACCCTGGGACCTCTGGGCTCCCTCTTGGCCAGTGAAGGCTGGGATGCTGCTCCCACGCTGCTGACCAAAGAGTGAGGCTGAAGCAAGGCAAGCAGAAACCGCCCCGCCTTGGTGCACTGCATCCATCACCCTCCCCTCATTAGCACCCACTCCAGCTTGAGAATGGCTGTGGAACGTGGTCCCAGGAGTTACAAGAAGAAATTTCTCCCCCCTTCCCTTATGAGAGAGCTGGGAGGCAGCCGTCTTGTGCTCCTGAGGACCCAGGGCTGTGCTGCTTGTCATGTCCACTTTGCACACCCTGTTGGCCAAGGGAGTTGGTCACCCTACGGCAGCCCAACTACGGGCTTGAGATCGGCTCCAGCTCCATCTCCCTACCCACACCAATCTCTCCTCTGCCGCATTCAGGCCCGTGCTGGCACTGCGGGGCACGTGTGGGAGCGGGGAGGGCAGATCCAGACCCCTGGGCTCACCTTGTCAACATGGTTCACAATTTCCTTCATGCGGTTCTGCACTGTGCGCAAGTCCCTGTGTTTCCTGAACTATGGGAAAGACACAGAGAGATTTCCAGGCTGGCTTCGACCTCCTCACTGCAGTGGATGACAGTGAAAACGCAGGTACCAGCTTGCCCCCCCCCCCATGTTTACCTCCTTGTTGTCCACGACCAGGACCAGCTCCACATATCGGGGACCTTTGTGTAACGGAGCTGATTTCTGGAAGGAAAGAGGAAAGTGAGCGCAAAAAGGGCCTCAGCTCTGCAGCTTGCTGAGCCCTGTGGTTGACCCTCCTGTGGGATGTGTTGGATCCTGGGGCATCTTCCAGTGTTATTCAAGGCTAGTAGGTCTTCTAGCTCTGCTTTCTGATGCTACTTTGCTGGGTGTTTCAGACATTTTCCAACACACAAGGAAAAAGCCAAGCCTGCTACTGGGATAAGGCATGAGAGAGGCTCTGCGGGCATTACAGAGCTCATGGGGTAGGAGGATGCTCCTGCTAATGGTACAGGATCTGAGGACTTGTTCCCACCAGGAGCTAGGCCACTGGGAGCAACCCATGTTTGGGTAACCCAACCAACAATGCGTGGGAGAGGAGCATCTCCAAGAGATGCAGTATGGCCCCACTCCTCTCCTGCACTTCACAGGACCTAGGCTCCTGCAAACTCAGCTACAGGAAAGAGAAGCAAAGCAATCCTTAACCCAGCGATAGAGCTTCATGGCTGCAGGAATTTTCAGTTCGTGGTCATATTCCAGGGTGGCACCAGACTCTCCGCATGTGCCACGCTTCCCCCGCAGGTGAGCTGCTCTGTACACTGCGTGCCGGCCGGCTGCATCCTCCTCCAGGGGCTCCAGCAGGAAGGTGGTCTCATTCACTCGGAAAAACCCACTGCCAAGAGAGAGGGCAGGCATCAGGTTGGGGAGATATCTGGCAGGACACAGACAGACCCTACATGTGCCCCTGCAAGTGCCTGTGATACAAAATACAGCTGCCAAATCCCAGCTAGGAAACCACCCTACCCCTTCATGGTTCCCATAGGCAGCTTGGATGAGCTACAGGCCACTAGTGGGACGTGACAGTCAGGTCCTTCCGGCCACGTGCATTAAACCACACTCAATGCAAAGCCCCAAGCAGCCCTTGGGCATTGCATGAAGTCCCACATTGCTGTGCAGAGGTACAGGGTGCAGGAGCTCACAGCAACGCGAGGGACTGGATGCATCTTCCCTGCAACCTCTCCTGGCCCAAGAGCACATGAAGGAGGTGCTGCAGGACTGAGCTGACCTGGGGCATGCCGGGAGATGGGGAGAAATAGGAACCATGTCCATAGCGTTTCCTTTCAGAGGCTGCAGAAGCACCAGTTGAACAAAAGGACTGTTAGGGAGGCTGGAACTGGCTGCTGAACTGGGAGGGAGCAAACCGTGACACTGCATCTGTGTCTGGTAGCAAGGGGAGTATCCTATACTTTGGGCAGCAGAAATTTCCCAGGGTTGAGCAAGAACTGCCCAGCGCTGCCAGGCCAGGTTTAACACAGCATTTCTGCTGAGCAGTTCTGGCCTTCAAGATGCTTTCTGTAAGGTGAGCCATATGCCCTGTCTGTATTGTCCTTGTCTCCTGTCCTGCCCTTGCACATCTTGTTCTACTACACAAGGATATCAAGTGTCCCATGTATGCACAAGCTGTGCGAGCCAAGGTCTCCGCAGACACAACCCCTGCTATCAAAGTAAGGCTGCCACACAGCTCCAGCAGGTGTTTCTCCTGCAAATGGTTGTTTGCAGGTCCCTCAGTGCTCCAGGGACCACCTGTCCTCCTCACACATCCCCCTGTGAGGGACCCCTTCCTCTCTGTCTTACTCTCTTGCAATGTCTGGCTGCCAGCTGATCTTAAAAGAAAGAGAACAGCAGAGTATGAATCTTCCATGGCAAACTGAGCAACGTGGCATAGACCTGGTGGCTTGGGTTACTCTGCAAGGATGCTTTCTGCCATTAAATGCAGGTAGACCCAAGGCAGCTTTTGAGGAATGAGCACCAGCACAGCCAGCAGCCGGTGGGTAGAGGGAGACACAGCTGGCCTGATGCACCGTATGCATTTCTTTTGTTGTAGAAAGGCACTCAGCCATCAGCTCTAGGAGCTCGGCATGGCCTGGAGGACATGCCGGCTGCCTGCAAGCTGATGCATCACCACGAGCACACCTTTGTGCCACTGGCTGCAGCACTCGGGGTGAGTTTGGTCTGGTCTGCCCTGGGAAGAGAGGATGGATCTGGGACAAGCTGTGCCTTGCTGCCCAGGGAGGGCACTCCTGCCCCAACCTCCTGTCATGCTCAGGTTTCCAGTCTCATCCTGTGCCATGAGTCAACCCCCCCAAAAAACAGCAAGCTTAGCTGCAAAACACCATGCGCCTTTCCTGCTGGGCGCCGAGCCAGGGCGGTCAGCACTCCCACTGCCAGCAGGAAAAGGGATGTCTTCTTCTTTTCCTCAGGGGAAAGCTGAGCTCTCCCTCCATCAGCACAGCTCCGGCTGGCCGGGGCTTGGTCACACCGGCTCACCATTACACAGCACCATGTCTGCCAGGAGCAGCGCCATGGTGTGCACCAAGGCCAGGCTCAATGCTGTCCTCCAGCCAGCCACAGTGCCCCAGGGGAATCGAAGGTCCTACCTGAGCCCGCCGCAGGTGCTGATGCTCACTGCTGAGTCAGCGTATCCTTGCACATGGCCCTGATAAAAGCAGTGATCCTGCAGCCAAGAGGAGATGTGTAAAGGGGGTCTGCACCAGCTGTCAGCATGGCGGGACCCCACGGGAGTGGGAAAACTGCTCTCCCCAGAGCCCCCGTACCTGAATGTCTGGCTTCTCCGTGATCTCTGTGCCATCAGCCGAGTAGTGCGTCTCGATGTAATGCTGCCCCAGCAGCTCCCTGCAGGATGGGAAAGGTGTGTCAGCAGCGACCCTGGTTTTGGGGAGAGGATGGAAAGCTTTGGGGATGAGGTTGGTCAGGTTGGGTACAGTGGGCCCATGACCTCCCCGGGTGGGTTTGGCAAGGAGGGGAAAAAAATGCAATATTTTGCTAGCGAGGGTCTGGGCTGAGGGCTTAGATAGCTGGTGTTGTGACACTGGACCTTGGAGAAGTGATGTTCATGGCAAGTGTGGGAATTGAGCCTCCCCCCAGGCCGTCCCGCTGTGCCCACCCATACTCACTTGTTCTTCTCCAGCCACAGGAAGTAGTCCCTGCCTTCAGCACGGACACTGTAGAGGATGCGGTCTGGGTAGATGCTCTGCATGAAAGATAGACAACAGCACAGACCCACGGTCACCAGGAGCAAAAGCTACAGAAGAGAGGACCTGCCCAGAAAGGGGATGGGGTCTGCATGCGCCCTGCTGGAAGGCGGCTGCAGGACGGGGAGCCTGGCTGCTCACCCTGGGGGCATCCAGCAAAGACACGGAAAATCAGAAGAGAAGAAAGCAAGCATGTGGGCAATAACGCAAATCCCCAGTACATCCTGAGATAAAGAACAGGTCACCAGCTATGAAACAGAGTCAGCAAAGTCTGGTTTCCCGTGTCTGACACATGGCTGCAGATGGCCATGCCAGAAACTGAGGTTTCCTACTTATCAATCACAAAGCTCCTTTTTTGGAGACTGAGTTCAGCACTTACTCACAGGCTGAACCACAAAGATCCCCGGTGCCCAGCGGCTCTCATCAGCAGAGACTTCCTTATCTCTGACTGATCTAACATGCAACATCAGGGTTAGAGAATAACCTTCTCTTGCTTCTCATCTGCTACTGAGATTTTAGTATCACCATGTGCCAGATCCCCTGAGCATCACCCTCGTGCTGGTGGAAGGGACCTCAAGGCATCTCAAGTCCAACCTCCAGTCACTGTGGCTGGGTCAGGGTGGCTGTGGCTCAGCCCAGCTGAGCCCTGAGCCCCAGGATGGATATGTCCCTCCAGAAGAAGTGTTTCCGTCTGGGATGTCTTGTGATCTCCATCTGCAGAAGCTGGGCCACAGATCTCCAGAGGTCCTGTCCCACCAGGGCCACTGAGAAAGATGATGATCCCTTGCATGGTGCCCCATATCAAGCTGTACCCTTGGCACCAGGGACCTCCTCAGCCACCACCGCAGCAGACAGACCTCTCCTGAGGGAACATCCTCAGCTTTTATGGGATCCCAGGGTAGAGCTGAGCAGAAGGCAAAGCAAGCATCTCCCACAGGGCCAGCATTCCTCCCAGATGAGGTGTGCGGCCTCTCCCTGGGGAGGATGACAGCACCTGCTGTCATATGACAGCTCAGCGCTCCTAGGGGGATGATCTGCAACCTGGCAGGAGCTGGGGCTGAGCAGAAAGTCCTGCTGACTCATCGCCAGTGGGGCCAAGTAAGAGGGTTTGCCCGTCACTCGGTCACCCTCAATTCTACCCAGTTTGCGTTTCCAATCTGAAGTGATGGCCTGCTGGCCACAAAACATCCTCTCTGCATGCCGAGCAGGTTGCAACAAGCCTGCCAGGTGGCCAGGCAGCCCCAGCTGCAGGCAGGCGCACCGCCAGCGTGCGGGTGCACTCATGGGTCCCCAGCAAATTCTTCTCTTATGAACAGCGTCTCCCGCCTGATGTGGCCATCCCATCCCATGTCTGCCAACAAAGCGATGCTTTGTTATTGTTGGCAGCGCCGGAGCCACAAGAGGTCTTAAGAAATGGTAGGAAAATACTTGGAAGGGGGGGGGAGGTGGGTCAGAGACCGTCTCTTGGAGACAACCGCAGGGCAAGTTAAAAAAAAAAAAAAAAAAACCTCTTAACTGATAAAGCTTCTCTGAATCACTCCCTTCCTTATTAGCATGGGCTTTGCAAGGGCTCCCGATGGGAAGGCTTTGAAAGCGCAGGCAGCTCAGCCCTGTCCCTGCCCGAGCCCTGCTAACCCCATGACTGTGCTGAGCAAGCAAAGCCGTGGCCACAGCACACAGAGAGGAGGGATTTCTTCCAGTTGGTCTTATTAAGACACCCAGAGAGCTTGCAGAGGATCGGGACATGATGCCACCATCCCATCCCAGCACAGGGTATTTCTTCTGTGGGTGGGAAGAGGCAATGGGTCTCGCTAGGACAGTAGGGATGGGGCTCATTGCACCATGCATGTATCAAATGAGGTGCAGCACAAGAGAGGAGGAAAAGAAGGTGGGTCACTGGGCCACCACCATCCCTTTCTCCTGCTCCATCCAGCCCCACTGCTCACTCTGCAACAACCTGCTGCTTCCTGCAGAGCCCAAGGCTGGGCCAGCAGAAGCTGGGCTGTCTCCACCCAGGCAAGGGACTTGCCTCTTTGCATCAACTGGCTCTGGGATGTGGTGGGGGAGATCAGCAGGGATGTGCAAGCATAGGTGCGCTGGGGAGAAGCCAGCAGCTTGCAACACCGGGTCTTACACGGGCTGGAAACCACCCTGCCGTTTCACTACAGCTCTTTTTGAAATGCTGGAGCATGGGGACAAGAGATATCACTTCTGCAATCAAGAGCATAAAACTAAAAATCTTTTTGAAGGCCCTTCTTGCTCTTTTTTCTGGTCCCTTTCCATGAAGAACCCAGGTTTGCCACATGCCCTGTCGTGCCTCTGCTAAGGGCAGGTGGGAGGAGAAGACCATGGCCTGTGGGAAGGCTGGCATCCCAGCCAGGAGATCCCAGGAGATCCTGTGCTGCAGGACCCAGGCCTCCACCCTGTCTGCAGGGCTGAATATTTTGATTTAAACAAAGCCAGAGGGGAGATCGTCTGCTTCAAACCTCACCTGGCAGATGCTCTGCTGGACCAACCGCATGTGTCCCAACTGCTCTGACCCAGGAACCAGCTCTTGGCCCATGCCCATCCCAGCCAGAGACTGCTAATGCAAAGCCACAGGAGGAGCTGGCACAGAAAATGCCCGTCCAGCTACCTGTCTCCACTTCAAAGAGGGGCTTGGTGGTGGTCAAGCCTTGCTGAGAACCTCTTCCCCACCAAGGTTACTGGGAGAGCAAATCCAACTTTTGTGGAAAAGGAGGAAAATGGCTTGAAAGGCGGGAGCCCTCATACCCTCAACACAGCAGGTTTGGGAGGTCCAAGGACTGCCCAATCCAAGACCGAATCCAGGTGCCACCCAGCAGACACCACCCATGGCTGTCCCAAAGTACACAGCTCAAGGCAGATGTCTTCTCCTGTGCTGTGGAAAGCATAGGGACCCCAAGATGGGTGAGCTCCCCTTTCCAGGGGGATCAGCGCAGAGCCACCCAGTGCACCCGGCACAGATGGTGTCTCTAAATAGCCTGGGGAATGTTTATCGCGTGGACAAGTTTAGGTTTCTAGAGCAGAGAAAACAGATGCTTTCAGGGAGTGTTTTTTGAAGCTAGTTTATCAGAAAGGGTTTGAATCACAGATGAACGTGCTGTACGAAGCGTTTACTAGGAAATAAATGTCCCCAGCCCCTCCATCTCATCAGGTGCTAAAGTCGGTGCTTTTCGGACCTAGAAGATGAATCCATGTATTTGGCTGAATTTCACTTTAACGCAATGAGGAAAGCATCTTTGAGGTCAAGGCTATCATCTTACAGACATCAATCCCAAGCAGTCAAAAATCCTGAGTCAAACCCCATTCCTTCCCCCAAATTACAAGGTTTCCCAAGAAAAATAACACTGGCTTTCTTTCATGTGGGTTTCTGCAACTTTCTGATTCTTATTTCCCTGTCCCAAAGGACGAAAAAAACCCAACTTCAGCAAACACAGCAAGAAAAGTGCTTACAGCTCAGTGAGGCTTTGCAAATCCCTCCTTAAGCAAAGACCAGATGTCAGAAGATCACTGCAAGGGTGGCACCGCTGGGTAATGTCTCCAAAGAAAACATTGGAGAAAGCAGCCCCCCCCCTCCAAGAGTCCACCCAGCTATCTGTAGTTCCTATTTTGACACAAAACAGTCCAGGAAAGCTGATCTGATCAACTACTTCAAGATCTCCATCCTCCGGGATGGAAGCAATTGCAAGAAAATGTGCACCAGGTCATTCTTCTGGCACAGGGCCAAAGGGGTCCAGCTCCAAGCCCAGTGGTGGGCCAAGGGTCTCTGCTGATTGCAACACCCACCCTGGACTCCCTGCAAGGCAGCGAGGGCAGCTGTGCCGAGCCAGTATTTGGGAGGCAATGCTACTCACCGGTGGTGCAGAGAGGTCCCTCTTCCCCCGAGGTGCTGGCACCTTGTGCGGCATCACCGTCTCATACTTCTCGACATGGGCGAGCTTCTCCTCCAGCCTGGCAGTGGTGCCTGGAAAAAGTCAAAGGGCTTTGAGTCAGGATGCCCAGAAACAATCGAGTCGGGGGATAATGGAAGTGGCCAACACGAAGGTGCAGGCAAGACCCAAAATAGCAAGTCCTGAAATACCTTCTGGGAACGCAACTCCCTGATGGGCTCCAGGGATGCTCCAGCCCTCCCAGCCCCAGTGCCCACAGGGCGCTCAGCATCACCCATGGGCGAGCAGGTCCCTTCAAGGCTGGAAAACTCTACTGAGACCCTGGTGTGTAAAGATGGAGGTTTTTCAGCTCCCCATCTTGATGCCACAGTTTGTGACTTGGAGTCTGGCAGCTGCCAGGGCTTGCGTTTTGGAGAACGGCTTGTGTCTGGGCTGGCTCAGACATCTTTTTTTGATGTCAGAAGGGAGACATTTCTGTGATAAACTCTTCACCTTCCCCAGGAGCCCCGAACTGGGAGCTCGTGCCTCAGCCATGCCCATGCTCCTGGGGTTAGATGGGGCCAGCGGAGCCCCTGGCAAGGCGGTAGCAGAGCTGGGTGCTCCGTCTGCGGGTGCCTGGCGGCCCTCGCCCACGGTGCCCGAGCGGGAGCCAGGAGCCTCGTCACCACCCCCTCGGCCGGCTGAGTCACCAGGCCCAGCACGCCGCAGGCTGGCGGTGACAAATTTCCCCTCGCTTGCAGGAGCCTCCTCGCCGAGGTGCCTTTACATAACAGGGAGCAGAGGTCACCAAAAGTGTCCTTCTGCGATGGGGCCGGCTGCCAGCGGAGCTGGCCGAGGGAGGCAAGCCTGGTCCACAAAGCCCCTTTCTCCATCCTTCGCCCTCGAGTGAACTTGGGGAGGCGATGCCAGCGATGCTCGCCTAATCCCCCGGTGACCCCAGGGCTCAGCCTGGCAGACAAAGCAACGGAAACCTTGCCGAGCTGTGACCCATCCCAAAAAGCCACCCCATACCCAGCTCCTGCCTTGCGCATCCCCTCCTGTGCCGCTTCCTACGCATCCCCTTAATTCTCGCGGGGAAAAGCATCCCCCCCCCTCCCGGTACCTCCAACCCTCCCCTATGGTAGAAGACCCCCGGGGAGACGGGATTTTGCCCTGCATCCCCAAAACTTCACGCCCGTCCCGTCGGCGGAGCACGGCTATCTGCGGGCTGCCTGCCGGCTGC